GCCCCGACGACCGCCACCAGAAGCCTGCCAGTACCCGGCGCCTACTCGAGACGAAACGCCTGTACCCCAGTACGCTTGTCGCCAGGTAGAACGACCCCAGTATACGTGCGCCAAGAACAGCCGGAGAGAAGGAAGACGGGCGTCTGGAAATACTCCCGGACTGCTCTCACTGCGGGGAAGCCGACCACATTCATCGCCGATGCCCCTACCGGCAACTTTGGCTGCGAGGGTTGCACCCGAACGTTCAACGCCCACGGCACGGTGAGCACCCGCGAGGAGGAGGAAGAATAAACTTTATTATGCTTGTGTATGGGTTTCTGGCCACGAGAAATCGACGAATATGTTCGCCGTCTACCCTTTATTGCGCCCGCTTCGCCCCGAGCAGCTCGCTCGCCTTCACCGTAGCGCCCTGCATCGCCTCTTTGAAGCTATTTACAGCGCGGCAGCGCGCGTCCCTGGTTTCAAGAGTGTACGTCACTGTTGCCCGACTGCGCTGGGTCCGGGAATTTCTCGTCAGTGGACAGTGGGCCGTGGCAGCCCGCGTAGGCGCAATTCCGGACGCTGGTGGCGGTTAAAATGCCTCGTCTTATTTTAAGCATTGTATTGTTTTTGGGAACAAAAACAATCACATTAAATTATTATTGGTGAATCCGTGCACGACTGGAATGTTTGTTTAATTTTATGTTGATTTTGTTTACGATACCGCAGACTCAGCCGTGTCAATCTACAAAGGTATTAACTGTCGAAAATATTTGACCACACAGGATAGCCAAAATGCATGGGTATTCCCGCTTACAAAACGAAATTCAACTAGCCTCATTAATCGAACCACCCTACCCCCTTGCACAGACTTGTAATTCTACGTAACGTCCGGTACGGCTGACACGTTTAGTCAATACTTCAGCTTGGGCGAGTTGGTGCGCTGTGAAGTGTAAACACCATCTAGTTACTTCAATACTGATATACTCGGTGACAGCATTCTCTAGCGATTCAGAAATAAAGGAGGCATACTTAGGCGTCTCAGTGCTACGTACTTGTTAAACAGACCGATTAAGGTTTTCCGTACTTTTAGTACATATACCGTTTAGAACGAATTATTGACGTCGATAACTGGCGGAATGCGCATTATCGAAGGGAGGGTAAAAACACAGGCGAGCTGGGGAAGAAATTTCATAGTAACCGGAGACACGGAGCGATAAAAAAAAAGTCTTAATACGCATTGGTTTTTATTCTCTACAAAATGGAAGTCGCAGGACAAAAATAGAGAGCGTTCCCCCTCCATTCGCATCTAGAACAAGAGGCCACATGATCCTGCGCCGATTATATGCGGAGAGCAAGTCGTCTGCTTGGTGCGCAGGAGTAACGGTGACGTCAGAACGACGCCGAGATCTTATTGGCTGATTGAAAAAAATAGTGGGTAGAGCTCAAGGCATCGAGCATTGTGGTCAAACCACTACTTTTTTTCTTTTTTTTTTTTTTTTTCAATCAGCCAATAAGAGCTTGGCGTCGCTCTGACGTCACCGCCACTCCTGAGCGTGAGGCAGACGACTTGCTCTCCGCATAACGCGAATGTCCACGCAGCAGGAGTGGAAAAGCATAAAGCATGGGCTGAGCTTGATCAGTTGCGACGCAGCTTACTGTGAACACGACTACTCAAATTTTGAGTAAACAGTCGGCGGCCCGTCATCGGCTCGATTCTAACTGTGTCGTTTTCGGCATGGCGAAGCAGTCCCGCGTTTCCTGGACTTCGGGCGCGTCATCTTCGCACCCGGACAGTACCAGATGAAGTGGACCTGACGCAGCTTTTCGTCGACTACGCTGTTGCTGCCACGTGGTGAGCCGTCATCCGGGAAACTGGATCCGACGCTTGTGGTCGGTTTGCCTTGCTGCATACCCGACCCGGAGGAATAACACGGAGCCAACGGTTCCAACAACAAGAAACTACATTTAATGGGACATGGACGAGACGATTAACATGGTTACCACCGGTGCCTGAGTCCAGGCAGCGACTCTCCGTGCGCCGCCTCTGATCTGCCTTATCAAGGCGGCGCATCCGATGTGCGCGTGGCTGGCGTGACGTCGCCGCCACGCGGGAAAACTTCGGCACCTTTGCCTCGCAGTCGGGCAACTTGGCTGGGGAGCCGCCAGGGTGCCCACACTTCCCCCCCCCCCCCCCTCAAGCTTCGTCCGGCATGTCGATGACGGGAGACGTTGTGGGCGTCAGGGGGTGGATGGCGCTGTTGGGCGGACGGTGGTGCCCATGAGCCAGCTCCACAGAAAAACAAGGAAGCAGACGACATGGAGCTCAGTTGAGGGTTGAGCCTAACGTTATCCACAACCAGAAAAGTCGAGTGTCATGCTTTCGCCTGTAATGAAATCTCGGCCCAAGATCACGGGTACCACAAGTCCTGGCATATAAAGAAATCGCTGACGCCGCTTCTTTCCGTTAAACCGAATCTGCAGCCTCTCGGCTCCTCCAGCTGTTATCGCTGTACCAGAAGCTAGCTGCAAACGGGTTTCGCACTCCCGGAGGCTTATCTTTTTTGCTTTGCAGAGTTCGAAAACGAAATCTCCTATGAGTGAGATAGCGGCCCCGGAATCCAAAAGTGCGGCAATGGGAAAATCGAGCAGTGAAATCGTCATGCGCGGTTCAATGATATTAGGCTCGGGCTGGATTCGACATACCGATGGAATCTGTGCCACGGCCTCACTGCTCCCAGGGACTGCAACGGCCGTCGGCAAGTGGCTGTCTGGTTTCAGCGTCGCCGGCCGCAGTAGTTTCCCTGGTTCTGGTTCCGGCCCTTTGCCGCCGTCCCGTGCCACCTCTTGTTTGTAGTGTCCAGAAGTCTTGGACACTGGTTTCGGTGATGGCCGGGCTGCTCGCACTCGTAGCAGCAGTCCGACGACAGTTGCCTGCTTAGGCCACCGGCACCGAGGTGCCCGTCGGACCGCCTCCAGTGATCGGATAAGGAACCACTATGGGAGGGCCTCCACCAGGCTTGCGACTGGCTGTTGTGGGGAGGGCTTGTTCCGTTGCGGCGGGGGTCAATGCTGCTGGGCTGCGGGTTTGCGACCGCACCGTGCCAGTTTTCGCCAGCACTTGCAGGAGCAGACTGATGAAGATGGTTCGCTTGGGTGGTGATCTCCGTTGGGCCCCAGCTTGCGATAGGGCACGGCCAACGACCTCCCACCTGTCGTGGCGACCCCCGCCAGAAACCCTCACGGGCCTCGCTGTGACCTCCGGGGACCTCTCGGGGAGAGTTAGGCGAACATACGCTTATCCCGCTCGGGAGTTCACCATGCATGCCACGCCAACTCTCCTGGTTGACGTGGTGGGGAAGGGAGGTCTCGTTCGAACAGTCCACTTGCGTGGAGGCCTCGGGGCCCCGCCATGCGCATGCCGGCTCGAGCGCGTACTTGGCTGGTGGCGGCGGCACGTAGTTCCGCTCGGCATGAAGAGCTTCCTCGATGAGGCGGGCACCCCGGGCTAGCTCTTCAAGGGTCTCAAAGGTGCGGTTGATCAGGTAGACGTGGTACCTGGGGTGACACTGTCTTCTGACCCGAGCTACTCTGTCCGACTCCGGTGACTTCGGGTCCGCCCTCTTGAAGAGCTCTTGCATGACCCGAACGTACCGGACCAGACTTTCATCCGGGTGCTGCGTCCTTGCCTCGAGCTCTCGGAGAATCTGCGTCGCGTAGCCTGCAGGCAGGAACTCTTCTCGAAGCCTTGTCTGGAAGTCCGCCAGGCTGGTGAAGGGGGTCTGTGACCCCAACCAGCACCTGGCGCTGGCTTGTAACGCCAGCGGGACAATCCGGTCCGCGATGAAGGCTTCTGAGGCACCGGAGGCAAGGTGGTACGTCTGCAGCTCGCCCAGGAAGTCTGCCACGGACTTGACGTCGTCGTACCCCCTGTAGACCGGAACAGTCAAGTGTGGTCTGGGCTCTCGCGGTGGGGTCTCCTGCTGGCCAGGCGTGTGGGCCAGGCGCTGCATCACGGAGTCGCACATCTCCGTGACCTTCGTGAGCAGGTTCATTTGTGCTGCTGCGGCCATCGCGGCTTCCTGCTCCCGCGTGAGCATTCCTGCAAGCACAAAAAAAAGAAACGCCCCCCAAAACCCAACACAAGCGCGCAAAACGATTGCCGCGTTCACGAAGACACGGTCACAAACACGCCAATAGAACAAACGTGGACGTGACGGAAGCACGAAACAACGATAGGAAACACGGGGAATATGAAAAAGGCTTACCGAAAGAAGAAACCAAGCCCCGTGAAATTCCTGCGAGTGGGTAGCATACCACGGTTGGGCGCCATTGTGGTCGGTTTCCCTTGCTGCATACCCGACCCGAGGAATAACACGGAGCCAACGGTTCCAACAACAAGAAACTACATTTAATGGGACATGGACGAGACGATTAACACGGTTACCACCGGTGCCGGAGTCCAGGCAGCGACTCTCCGTGCGCCGCCTCTGATCTGCCTTATCAAGGCGGCGCATCCGATGTGCGCGTGGCTGGCGTGACGTCGCCGCCACACGGGAAAACTTCGGCACCTTTGCCTCGCAGTCGGGCAACTTGGCTGGGGAGCCGCCAGGGTGCCCACACGCTACAAGAACAGCTCCCACGGCTTCTTTCGGCGCAGCCGGCGGCCCGTCATCGGCTCGATACTAACTGTGTCGTTTTCGGCAGGTGAGAATCTGTATTTGTAACCATGCTTCATTAGTTTTCATTTTCAACTTTGCCGTCGACTGCAACAAGTGCGTTTTGTATCTCTGTATCTTTATTTTTGTGTTATCAAATTTTGCAACTGAACGAGTCATGTCTGAGTCAAGTGACACTGATTGTATTGTGTGCTTTAAATCGGTGCCGAGTGATCTAAGTTTTATGAAATGCTATTCCTGCAGTCATGCTTGCCACCTTGACGCGTGCTCCGGAATCGCGGACAGAGCTTTTAAATCAATGGGCACCGCTAAACGCGAAAAATAGAACTTCCGTACGTGCAGGAATCGTGAAATCAGGATAAGTGCCGGAGGTTCCAGTGAACTTTTGACACCAGCTGCTAGCGAAATAGTCCCTCCGGCGCTAGCCGAAATAAACGCCAAGCTCGAAATTCTTCATTCACTAAAGGCAAACATTGATCGACTCTCAGATCTTCCTGCCAAAGTAGAAGAGCTCCTTGCCCTGAAGCCATCAGTAGATGCGATGAAAGAAACAATCAGGAGCCTCCAAGAATCTGTGAAGAAGTATGAATCTACCATGAAACTTGTGACAGAAAACGATAAAGAAGTTAAACTACTGAGAACCGAAGTTGGAGCACTACAGGCCACCGTGTCTGAGCAAACCGTTATGATTGGTCAACTACAAACAAACATAAACTCGACGGAACAGTATAGCCGACGATGCAATATGGAAATACATGGTATTTCTTACGCGAATGAGGAAGACTTGGGGGCCACCATCAGCGACCTTGCACACAAACTGAACATCGCCGTTTTTGGCCCCGCCGAGGTGGTAGTCTGTCACCGTTTGCGCTCTAGGCGCGAGGGGGCCCCTCCCATACTGATTCAGTTCACCTCGGTTCCCACGAAGGACCGCTGGATGAATGCGCGTAAGAAGTTGGCAACGCTACCTCGGTCAGAAATTCGTTCGAAGATTTATTTCAGCGACAACTTGACAAGAACAAACAAGGACCTGTTCTGGCAAGCCAGAACCAAAGGCAGGGACAAATCCTACAAATGTGTTTGGGTAAAGAACGCTACTATCTTTGCAAAAAAGGACGAAAACTCGACGGCAGTGCGCATCTGTAGCACTAGGGTTTTACAAAAAATAGTATGATAATGGAAAACCCAGTAGTACTTTCTGGCTTTCCTTCGTTTCTTGACCTTTTCCCGCCTAGGGCTAGTGCGCTCACTGTACTACATGTCAACTTAAGAAGCATTAGAAAACATTGGGATGAATTTCAGTTGATTGCTCGAGCAGTCGAGAATTCTGTCGACGTTTTCGTGTTAACCGAAATAAATGTTCGGGAGGTTTTCGTTTCACAGGATCAGTTTTCTTTACCGGGATTTGACAGCTTCTTTTTGACGCGTGGCGCAGGGAGGGGAGGAGGAATAGCCGTGTATGTAAACAAAACATGGTCAGTAGTAGATTTAGCGGTCTCCTTTAATCATGCCGAGTGTCTCTCGCTGAAGTTAAATAAACTTTAATTTCGAAATATTTCTATTTTCATTTTATAGGCCACTTTCAGAAAATGTGAACAAATTTCTAGAGGACTTAAATACTAATTTAGAAAGTATAGCGTCTACCAGTAAACTTTGTATCGTGGGTGTCTTAAATATTGACGTAATGAAGCCTTCAAGATCATTCGTATGTGACTATTTAAATATTCTCGCTAACTACGGCATCGAATGCGTAATAAATGTACCGACACGAGAGGAACACCTGTCCGATAAATTGGTTTCGTCTTGCATTGATCATATAAACGTTAGAAACTCTTGTATACCTGTAACATCGGCAGTAATCTTGCGAAAATTGGCGGACCATTACTTTGTGGCGTGTAGCATTAACTTTTGCGGTATTTAAGAAAAACCTATAGAACAGCAAAAAGAAATAACAATCGTGGATTCCCGTCAGTTTGATAGATTAATTTCTTCTTATAATTGGAATATACTTATCGACAATTTTAATCACCAGGATGCGTATCTTAAGCTAATTGATATTTTGTTGGATTTTAAATTCATGAGCGTAAAAACAATAACTGTAAAAAAACGCAGACAGAATCAACCTTGGCTTACCACAGACGTCTTATCTGCGATCAAAGAGAAAGATATGTTATGGGCACGATGGTCGCCGGAACGATAAAGAATTGCGTTTGCAATTCCAAAGTAGAAATCGTGTAAATGCCATAATTCGCTCCAGAAAACGTCAGCATTTTTAAAATCAGTTTTATAGATCACGTTTTGATATTGATAAAACCTGAGCTTTAGTAAATGAGGTTAAAGGAGTTTCAAACAAGTCTTCGATAGATGACACAATTACCAAGCATTTCGGAACCGACTTACAATCGGCTACTGACACTTTTAATTGCTTCTTTGCTTCCGTGTCAGGCGTATCAAACGGCGAAAATATCACTCCTATTAACTTGAACCGCTCTTGCTCGGCCTCAGCATTCTTGTCAAGCATGACACCACAGGACTTGCGTAATCTTTTATTTAGTTTTAAGCCTAACAAGGCTCCCGGAGCAGATAATATTCGCATCAACGACTTAAGGTGAAATTTCGGACGTTTTGTCTGGTATTTTGCTTTACGTATTGAATGGGACTATCAGCTCAAGGGTCATTCCAGTTGGGCTAAAAAGTGCCATTGTCAGACCGCTTTACAAAGGAGGAAAGCATGATAGCGTAGAAAGTTACAGACCAATATCTATTCTCTCGTGTTTATCTTTGATACTTGAGAAGCACCTTTTAAAAGCAATGACGGCGTTCCTGGAAAAGTTTGATCTTTTTTCGCCGTCTCAGCACGGTTTTATCCCGGGACGTGGCACGGATTCACTTCTCGAAGATTTTGTGGATAAGCTACACGACACTTTGGAAAACAAAAAATATGCCTGCGCTCTTTTTCTAGATGTTTCTAAGGCGTTCGATTCCATTAGTCACAAAATATTAATCAAAAAGTTGTTTGACTACGGGTTTAGAGGTCCTTTCTTTAATGTGCTTAAAGACTTTCTGACGAACCGGACACAGCGGGTTTCTGTCAACAATACCCAGAGCGCCAACGTATTTCTTAAAGCCGGAGTTCCTCAAGGTTCTGTGTTGCCTCCTCTACTGTTTAATCTGTATGTGAACGATCTTGCTAAGGCGATGTCAGGTGGTGACATCTTTCAATACGCAGATGATACTTTGTTACTTTCCCGCCATATAAATTTGCGCAGTGCACTTAGCCTGTTACAAGTTAATGCTACAAAGGTAATGGACTGATTTCAAACCAGTCTTATCAAAATTAACGTTCAAAAAACAAAACTGATGTGTTTCTGCAGTCCATTGAAACGTAAATGCCTTGATTTTCCATTTGTGCTCCACACGTCAAAGTGTGCTAGCTGCAGCTGCTCACCTATTGAATATGTTTACACAGCGAAATACTTGGGGTTATATTTTGATAGTGACATGTCCTGGAACTCGCATCTTAGCTATGTTGCTAAAAGGCTCCGAAGTGTATCATGCATGTTATATTCCACAAAATCCTTTCTTCCTTTTTCTGTTCGAAAGATGGTGGTCAACTCTTTAGCCTATGGTGTTTTACGTTACGGTATCACAGTCTACGCAAACTGTTCGATGACTTGGCAGAATAAAATTGATAGTATATTGAGGGGAATTCTGAGGGGCGTAGCTTACGCTCCTCTCGATACTCCAAGTGACGAACTGTTTTTATCTTTGCGCCTGCCGCGTTTTTCAGCTCTTTTTAAAAGAAGTGTCATTATGAAGCATTATTGGATTACCACCTTAAGACCCCCCGTGTTTCCGAGCGTATTTTAAGGGACTGTGAACGCTTTATCATTTCTCGTGTTTATACCAAGTACGGAAAACGATTACGCTCGTTTTACGTGCCTGAACTTTTTAATGGCCTACCTGATTCCTTTTTAGAGTTGAACTCAAAACGTCAATTAAATAGACAGCTAAAAACAATATGCTAAACTTTTAAATATTTATTTTTGTCCCTACATTAGCTCCTTCAAGTGACTGTTAAATACTATTTTTCTTTTTGTCGTGTTTTTGCTTTTTTGATTGACCTTGTCTTTGCAGCTCTAAGACATTCTAGATGATGTACGGTTTTCTTTATTTGTATCATTCAGTATTGTAGAGTTATAGTTGTTCTTTCAGTGTTATAGTGACCTTGTTTTGTTTTTAAGAGATCCTTCTTGGTGTTCGGTTTTCTTCGCTTGTATTATTTTTTCAGATTTTTTAATATTTTTTTTTCTTATTTGTATTTCAAATAGGTCATGGTTTTTGTTTTGTTTTCATGTGAATAGTTTTGGTATTTTCTACGCCGCTGCCGGGCCCAGTCCCACAAGCCGCTATTGGTTTTTGACGGACCCGCGTTTTTATATATTGTATTTATATTTGTGCAATAAAATATTATTATTATTATTATTGTTTTATGAATGGTTTGTGACGCAATCATGAACATCAGCGCGACTCCAGCGAGCCACTTTGAAAATGAGTGATTACTTCGTCTCTGCGTAATCATTTAATCTTCGGTCTCTAATCGTTTAATGTTCAAGCTGCTTCCCCACCATCGTTGCAGCTTCGTGTGTGTGTCTTGTCCTGTCTCTCTGTAATCATTTAATGCTCAAGCTGTTTCACCACCATCACTGATCATGTACCAACTAGCTCATCTCAAGCCGATAATGTCTTCATAGCTTGGGCGGAATTGTGAATGTGTGTGCACTTCCGCTCCATGTATGCGCGGCGCGGGTTTATCTGGTTGTTAGGACGACGTCTAGGATGACCTCTAGGACGATCTTTAAGGAGATCTCATGGACGACCTCTAGGACGACCTCAAGAATACCATCTAGGATGACGTTGAGGACGACGTCCTAGAGGACGAGGTCAAAGGCGACGCGTAGAACCACCTTCCGTACGACCTCTAGAGTGTTCTTCAGAACGACCTGAAGGACGACCTCTAGGACGACCTAAAGGACGACGTCTAGAATGACGTCTATTACGACCCTCTAGGGCGATCTCAAGGACAACCTCTAGGACGACGTATAAGACGACCTCTAGGACGACGTATAAGACGACCTCAAGGACGACATTGAGGACGACGTCCCAGAGAATAACGTCTAGGTTGACATCTAGAACGACTCGATCGAGAAAACAGCGCAACAAACACTAAGACGAGTTGAAGCGAACGGGACAACCGCTAACTGACAACTAAAAGTTTATTGAATAAAACACCTAAAAACGTCCTAGGGCGATCTCAAGAACATCTAGGACGACCTCTCGGACGACCACAAGGACGACCTTTAGGACGACGTCCGCATACGCGCGGCGCCTGCGTATGCGGAGGCACCTCCTCATACGGGTGGCGCACGCGCGCGTTGCACATACGCACAGCCCATTCGAGGCCAGAGAGCGTATCGCGATAACCGAGTGAAGTAGCTAAAGAAAGCTGTCGCATTAATCATAATAATATTAACAATGTTTATTTTACTAATGCCCAAAACGACCAGACGGCCTACTTTTGGGTGCACGAATGCAAACAGATAGCAGAAAAAGCAACCGAGCACTAAATATGTTCACACAAAACCCACCACTACACAGAATTACCAAGAAAAAAAAAACAATAATTTGACCACAAGCTGATTCAGCTAATGGTGATATCTTAAAAAGGGAGTACTACATATTTTAATGCGAAATGGCACAATGCTGTTATGTAGTGTTTCTTTACGAGAGAGTGGTGAGGGTACAGATGTTGAACGAACATCGAAACAAATTAGATGCCTTGTAGGGCAAGATTGATTGATTGAAGTCCATTACTGGCAAGGATGGCCCAAGGTCGCTGTGGGGAAAAGGTAGGCAGGGGAGGGGTAGGGAAGGAACATGAAAATTAACTCTGCTAAGAAGCTGAGACGAATCAACTATGCCATATATAATCCTATGTAATATACTGACAAACGGGTCGTCGAGCGAGCGCGTGCGGGGGCGAATGGTTACCGTGCTTGGTTGTCGCGTGGAGGATCCAGGTTCGATTCCAGGGATCGGAATGTTCTTTTATTCATTCTTTCTACTTGACATTCTCATAAATTCGA